TAGCATGCAGGAAAATGCATAAATCATAGCTGCCGTGACCTTGCACTGGTGACTAGTTTTTTAGGTTGTGAAATGACTTCATACTTGACAGAAAGAGAAGGATAAGAGAGAAAGGAGGGAAAGAGGAAATTGTGGGAAAGCTCAAATGAGGCACACGTGTAATGTGATGGCTTCTGAAGCAGACTTGATGGTAAAGTGGGAAGAAAAACAGAGGGAGAATGAAGAAATGAGCACAGAGAGGCACAGCAGGAAACTGTTAATGGAGACATCGTGGATTTTTAAGGTGAGATATCCTCACACTGCTCTGGATCCTCTGATGTCCAAAGCTTCTGTGTGGGCTTACAGCGTCCCCCCTGGTTGCCTAACCCTCCCATCATGTCACTCAGAGGGATTAAAGAAGCTAAAGCCCCCCTCGCCCTGCCATCAACCACTTTGGACCAGGAATGAAGTGACTGGAAGCAGGGGAAGGATTCATATTCTGCATGCATGCTACACATGCGTTGGTACTCTCTTATTTTTAATACTGTATGTTTGCTGGGACATACATGAAGATACATGCACACATGATAGAACCAGGCAAGAACAGTTTGTTCTTACATGCCGGTTACAATTCAAACGCCTGTGCAAGCTTCAGTCTAACAACCACAGACACACACCTCACTCTTACAAGAACTCACCTTCCGATCATAGTAGAGTGCTGCTGCACGGCGGCCTCCAGGAGGCGCTCTAGGATGGTCCATTCCCCCATGGTTGTTGGAGTTAGGTGGCATCCACTGGGCACAGGAAATCAGGGCCGACCCCACTGCTGGTGGGCTTCCCAGTTAGCAGGAGCACCGGTGTTGGTTTGAACGTCTCTTTTTCTGAGTCAACAAGTCCACTTGTTGAGTTGAGATGAGGTAGGGAGCGGTTTCAGGTTTCAGGTGGCTAGTTCGGTGTAAAAGAAGGAACCGTGAAGAAAATCAGTGACGCTTCCTCGTGAGCTCCCTTTATTCTTTTTCGTCGCTGTCCCCAAAACACACACACGCTTGTGCCCTTAACTGCACCTGAGATGGTTGGACTGAAGCTTTTATGTGCTAGCTGCACACACAAACACACACTCTTGCGTGTCTGTGTGTGTGTGTGTGTGTGTGTGTGTGTAATTCTCCGTCCGTGCACCTGCTCACGTGAGTGTGTCTTCCCACTTTCCTCCTTGTTTCCCTCCTCTAGGTGCACCTGACCCTGTTTACCTCCTGAACAGCTGGTCGGTCATATGTTCTCACACTAACACACACACACACCTGGTCGAACACACACACAGAGACTCTATCTACTACTGAATTTCGAGGAGCAGCCGTAGTTTGTGCAGACATCCATCACTCGCACAGTAACACTCAGCCCTCACACGCTGGGTCTTTGACAGCATCTTGTAGTAACACTGGCCGGGCTCAGGTCCATACACTCATGTGAGCCTGAGTAACCAGGGATCTCTGCTTGTCCTCCGTCCTCTGCATTTCTTCCTCTCTCCCTCTGTATCTGTCCTCTCTATTTTTCAAGGGATTCCTTCTCCTCCTCTCTGTTGCTCCTCTCCTCTCCTGGTTTGTTTCAGGCAGCACTGGAGAGAAGCATTACACTGCCTCCTCCTCCACTGTCTCCTTCCCTCTGCTCAAAACCATGCAAGAGTCGTTGGTCTCCTCCTCGTCCTCACCGCCTCCCTGTCTCTGTGCGTTTCTCTCAGCGTGGTTTACGAGAGGCAGCTCTCCTTTCTTCTCTTCCCTTCATCTTGTTTTTTCCTTCTCTCTCTCTCTCTCTCTCTCTCTGTGTTTGCACCCTCCACCTGCCTCCGTCTCTCTCTCTGAGCCAGTAGGCAGCAAGACCGAGCGTGTGTCTAGAGGATTAGAGAGAGGAATCATTTCTCTGCTCCTCCCCCCTCTCGCTCCCTCTCACTCACTCTCCCATCACTGTGTTTATCCCCCCTCCCTCATCATCTCTCGCTGCTCCACCACCGACAACACACCACGCAAACCATTTCCACTTCTGTCTCACAGTGCACATTGCTTGTGATTTTGTCTTCCAGCCATGTTTTTAATCATCTTGCCTCTTGATGTCTTGTGTGCATTGTTACCTACTGTAACTGCGAGGATGATCTCCGCTGTTTACACACACACACAAACACACACACACATATACATGCAGAGACATGGGAGGCAGTGCCATGCTGAGGCTATGCAAGGATACTGAGCCGACACAGGGAAAGTGTGTGACAGAGTGAGAATGTGATGGAATCATAGTGTGTGTATGTGTGTGTGTGTGTGTGTGTGTGGTGGAAATGGAATTAGCGACAGTCATCAGGATTTAGAGTAATTTACTCAGAGGATGCTCGTTCGCTCGCTCGCTCTCTCTCACATGTGTACACACACACACACACACACACACACACACACACACTTGTATTTCTATCTCTGTGAGGACACACTCCTTGACATAATGCATTCCCCAACTCCTTACCTTAACCATCATCATCATGTGCTAACCCTAACATAAACCTAATTCTAGCCATTTGAGTCTTAACCCTCAAACGGCTCTATAAAGTTGTGAGGTCCAGCCAAAATGTCCTCACTATGTAAGGTCCTCAAAAAGATAGAAATACAAGTGCACACACAAACATGCAAGTTTGCACAGCTATCTGTTTCAGGACATCACATTGGTTTCCATTCATTTTGGGCAGCCTAACCCAAGCCCTAACCTTAGCCATAACCAAGTCATACCTAACCCTGACCAGGACCAGGCTTTGGTCCTCATGAGGAGCACTAGACAAGGTCGGTGTTTGTACCGGAAAAGGTCCCAAAGAAGGAACAAAACCATCTCTCTCTCTCTCTCTCACACACACACACACACTCTGTAATAATACAAGACCTCTGTTTATAATATTACAAGTTATCACTTCATTAGTGATTAATCTGTTGATTATTTTTTCACTAATCTATTTAATCTAAGTGTATAAAATTCAAAAGTGGAAAGTGAAGTGTTTAAACAGCCTGAGGAGGAGTTTACAATCTACAGTGACAGACGAAAAACATTTGAACCAGTCCAAAACAACGAACAAGGATTCACAAATTGAAAATACATTTTCTGCTAAAAAACTAACATCAATTAATCAAATAATTGCGGATAAATGAAGCTATGGTTCAGCATGCTGGGATGTGACAATCAGCTAGCTAGCAGCAGTAGAAACCTCAGTGTCCAAGGGCGTGTGTGTATGGTTGAGCCCAACATGGTGAAGAAGACACTTCAGGGGACACTGGGAGGCCATGCAAATATATCATGTATGTATGTAATATTTGTATTTATCACATACAAATATTTACTCACACACACATAAACACACAGTAGCATCTCCATGTAGTGAAGCTGAGTGTTTTAGTGGCTTCCTCTGTCACTCCCCGGCTCCCCAGACCAGAGGAGTAGTAATCTATTCTGAAGGATGTAATGACTCCCCCCCACCCCACACACACACACACACATACACACACATAATCCATCCTACCCCATGCCAAGACAATCTAGCAGCACCATGTCTCACACGTGAAGAGAGTAAGTCTAAATGAGGGGAGAGGAAAACACAAACAGCTAGGCTGCAGTCTGTATCGTCTGGCATCAAGGAAACACTAGGACATTTCTCTAACCTCCGAATATCCTTGTACGATGTCTGTCATTGACTATAAATACCATTCCGTGCTACTTAGAAAACCAAAATATAGAATAATCCTTGATCATTCCTATAAATGGACTTATAAAAATACCATACTTACATTTTATCCATGCAAGGGACGTAACTCTTGGGGTGGCAGTGCCAGTTCGTCTGTCAGCAGCTACACCACTTCTCTCCACAGTGAAATATCTTTTGAATGTATTGTCAGGGAATTTTTTTTTTTTTTTTTTTACAGACATTCATGGTCGCCAGAGGATGAATCATACTGACTGTGATGAGCCCCTGAAACATCCTCTAGCGCCATCAGATCTACATTTGCTGTTTTGTCATTACATATTCATGGTTACGGGACGTTCTTTAATAACGTTTGTGATGCACCATCATTCATCAGGTCAAGATTTTAATTTGTCCAACACTTTGGTTTATGACCAAATTCCTGTGAACTAATGACATTCTCATTAGCCTCTACTGTACTTCCACGTTTGATGCTAATTAGCAAACATTATGTTAACAAGCTAAAATAAGATGGTGAACCTGGTGACAATATTCTGCACTGAATCTTAGCGATACCTTGGGTTAAACTCTATAAGTCTTCAGGTTAACTCATCAGCAGGTTTTTGGCATAAAGATGTTGATAAGTCGCTGACATGGGAGATGGTCCATGATCCATTACGCACTCTGTCTTGCAAGAGGGGAGGGAGATGAGCTCATAGGGGCAGCTAGGTGGGAGGGCGGGTGGGTTTCTGTGCACTCTAAAGGTAAAAGATTACATTTTCACACTGATTAACGGATAAGAAGCTTTGGCGTAGCTCCAGGCACCATGAGACAGAGTGTGTGTGTGTGTGTGTGTGTGTGTGTACATGTCCCTGTTCACACCAAGAGGACACTGAAGGCAATTATGGTTTTAAGCAGCAGGTTGGAATCAATTATACATGTCGACTTCCACAAGCCCATCTGTCTGCTTTTTTTTTTTTTCACCTAATATAAAAAAAAATCATTAATCTACTTCAATTAAACTCCACTAAATCAAATCATCTAATTATGGGGATTTAAAAGCAGCCAGATTTTTTTTTTTTTAATTTCTGTTGCCTTTACTTTTTAAATCACTGTCCAGTACTTTTTATTGTGTTAATCTGGGCACCATGGCATCTAAAGTAGATACAGAAAAAGTCAGTAGATAGAAGAAAAACTGAATAAATTAAAGTTTCAGCTCTAATAGTTTTCCTCTAGAGCAACCTCGAGGATTAATCATGTTGGAATACTAATTAAATTCCTTGACATATCTGAATATTCATCAAATACGACCCACTGAAATGATCGTCTATGCAACTCCTTCAAAAAACGTATTTATTATAATTACAGGTCTGGATGATGGGTGTTGCACTAATCTTCAGAAATATCAGACACACAAATATCCGACATGAACCTGCCCAATATCCCCGCGGTGGAGAGCGACACTTCATGTGGATGACCCCGTTATTAACATAAGCTGCAAGTCTCTACTCGTGTATGAGCATGGTAGTGACACAGTGACACTTGGCCTAGGCAGACTCTGCTGTATATCGCAGAACCTTAGATAACCTTTTCCTGATAGGGGTCGTATCACGTAACAAAAAAAAATTACAGAATTTAATCGTGACAAGTGATATAAAACCTGCACGTTATTTTTTCACTATAGGAAACTTATCTTCAACACATTTGACCGGTTTATATATTATAATTGTTGGTGGCATTTATTTTTTAGAAGTTGTAATTGCCTGAAAGGAACAAGCAGGTCCTCAGCAGTCATTAAGTCGTATATACACAGTCCCATTATGTTGCACTTGTGGTTTTAAATGTTGCCCAGCTTCTGGTGTTCAGCTCCTGTGGTCTGTGGGTCGGCGCTAGGTGATCTCTCTAAAAGCCCTCTTCTCCACATACTTCACCTTGTGTCTCCTCTTGAACCTAAGAGAAGGGGGAGGGAGGGTGGAAACGCACATTTTAAAATCAATATACACCTAATGAGCCCGTAAATCACTGTGAGCCTTTGATGAGATGTTACGTAAGAGGTCCTTACTTGGCTCTCTCTCTGGGTTCGATCAGGTTCCTCTTCTGCAGACTCTTGAAGCGGTCCTTGAGGACGCTGCCCTCTGGCTGCAGAGTCATGGTGTTACATGAGGGGGAGACAAGTCCAGACAAATCCGTGTGAGATGAACGTCACTCTGCTCTGACTAAAAATGCAACTCCCACCCGAATTATAAAATCCCATTCACACCACAAAGGCTGATTTAAGCCTTATTCGGAGACATTATGATAGATATAGAGAAGAGCTGGGAAATTTCCACTGGCAATTACATCAAATGAAATTAAAACTGTCCCTGGGGGGAAAGTGGGTCGTCGCAGTATTAGAGAAAAGGATAAAGCTTAGAATAAGACAATGCAAAGAACTGAAGATAATACACCAACAAAATGAACCAAAACTCATTACAGATAAAGACACAGTGTCCTCACTGGCAAAGGTCAAAGTGGAAGAGCAAGAACACGTTTCAGATGTGACTGACGTACCTTGAGTTGTCGCAGGGAGCCGGCCAGCTCGTCACTCAACTGCACCTCCAGGTCCTGAGGCTGGAACCTGTGAATAAGGACGAAAAGCAAACATTTACCATGTGGTCATAAACAGGTCCATTCACACACTGCCCCCTGCTGAAGTAACCACAGGTAAATCTTCAGAATAAGGATGTTAAAATGTTTTAGCATGGCTTATGATGACAGTGAAAAGTGAAAGGCCTTGTTGCAATAAACCAAAAAAAAAAATCATAAGAAACGTAGAGGGTTAGTTGAACTTCTTAAATGAATTGGGCTAAAAAAAATTTACAAATTTTTTAAAAAACCAACAAAAATGAATACCACAGAATATATCATTCATGTTACTGACATGGTTCTGGAGAATGAAAATAATGAATGAATGAAAAAATTAATAAATATGTGACTACCAACAGCAGAAAACTGATCCCCAATGAATTGTAGAGCTTGTAAATCTCTATGTCTCAACATTGTTTGTCTTTCCCCAGCTAAGATAATGCTGGGGATAAAAACTTTTTACAGCGTTAAACTCCTCTCTACCAATTTAAAACATGAAGATTAGGTTACTCATCATGAGGACTAGTACTCAGTCTATGTGTAGTAGTAAAGTAGTGATAAAATTGTACTGTGTTTGACTTTGAAAGAATTTAAAAAGGCAAGAAGGATCTTCACAAAAGGCGCTACTGAGTGTCATTACGGGATAAGTAGGGTGCAGTATTTTTGGAGCTTAAAAAAACAAAAAAATCAGGATCTATTCTCTTCTCTGCTCTTAATTTTGACGGCTATTTTTTTGTTGTGAGTCCCCTGACTATATGAAAGTGCGCGTTAGGTGTACTTGAGTTTGCCGAGGCGTCTGGGCTGGCTTTTCTGGGCCTCCTGCTTGGCCTTGCGGACTTTCTGTTTTTCCTTGGTGCCCTGCTCCTGCTGTTTGATGGACGCCTTAATGGAGCGAAGCTGGAAGAGCTGCTGGTGCTGGTCAATCCGCTGTCTGTCGGCCAGCCGCTGCTGCTCCTGGGATGGGCGGCAGGAAGAGAAACAATGAGGTTGATGTTTTTTGATGGTGAGTGGAGCAACAACAACAACATGGCATCTTGCTGGAAGTCTTTACAACCTGCAACACTTTCATTTTAAATGTTTGTAGTTTGGGGATCGATCAAAAAATAAAAAAGGAAACTTTTAAACTGTTGCTGTGAGAGTGCAGTTGTGAGATTATTAAACATTTTTGCTCTTTTAAAAATCACATCCTGAAACACAAGCTATGCAATTTCATGCTTCATTATTATTTTCTCCATTCATCGTTTCAACTATGAAATGTCCAAAGAATTGTGAAATATGCTTGTCACAATTTCTTCATATGTGTTGTTTAGTCCCACCCACAGCCTTAACACCTAAAGATGTTTCATTTATTGTCACATATGTAAAGGAAAGACAACTCATCACATCGGAGAAGCTTGAACCAGTAAATGTTGAAAATTATTGAAATAGCTGAAGATAGATTTTCTTTCAGCTGATCAGTTACTTCAGATCTATGTGAAAGGCAACACGAATACATCTTGCACTGTTCAGTTTAAAGAGTCAAAATGTCAAAATGCTTTATTACATTTTTAAAAATGTGAGATTTCAGGAAGAGCAGAATGATTTGACTCAATACAGTTCAATCAGTAGATGCATTCAAACACTGTTGCTGTTTGACAGCACAGTAATGGTCCAAACCTGTCTACAGATGTCAACAATTACTGACAGGAAACTGTAGAGGTTACTGAACTGCAAGTCTTCAAAAATGAGTAAAGTATGAATTGTGTATGTACCTTAATTTTGTCTGCCTTCTCTCTCTTCCTCTGTCTCTCAGTCTTCTTCTCTGCCAGCGCGATGCCTCCCACTGCCACATCTTCCTCTTCCTCATTAGGAGCCATTTCTTCTTCATTCTCCTCCTCTACCAAACCTTCCACCTGCTCTCTTAAGATCGTCTCCTGCAGACCACACAAACACGAGGGTTAGACAAAAGATCAAAGTTTCCACTGCATTTAGAATGAATCAAAAAATGAAGGAAGAGCCGGAATGATGATCTCTACCTCTGTAGCTGTGTCGTCTTTGTTGACCATCACCTGCCTCTCTATTTTGTCTTCCTCCTTTTGTTTCTTTACCTCCACCTCGTGGGCCTCCCGCAGCAAGGCCTGGGTTCAAACAGTCAGTTAGTGCAGGTCATTACAACAGGATTAACGATGAATAACCAATGAGACAAACCTAAACCTATACTTTGATCATACTCCAGGATGGACGTGGGCAGCGGACACACTTTATTGATACTACTATCAGGGGTATGCGTACGCAGACACTAAAAAAACATGGAGAAGAGCTTGTCTGTTTGTTGTTGTTAAAATTTACATCACACGGCCTTAACGGTTTGCAACACCATGAATTGGCTTTATGAAGATACACGGCCAAGTGAAGGCCACACAACACTAATAAAAATGATTGCAGAAACTGACATTAAGATCTTTGTTATGGGTGATTGCAACCAGCATCTTCAGCTGAAGCATTTTTAGACAGAACACTCAAAGGCTTTAGTTGTTTTGCTTAATTCAAACTCAACTTAAACTGTACTGAACAAACAGGAACTGACTGTCTTTGTGAAAGGCCGTCAAAAAGTTAATCCCATTCTTTTCAACATATAAAAAGTTCATCAGCATGTTCTTTTTTTAGGGCTTTTAATACATTCTCATACTAAATTAAACATAACACCAAAATAAAAATAACAAAATACACAAATACATTTATTTTGATCATACATATGCATTAACTAACTAACTGTTTTTGTAAATTCCTTCACAAAATATCTAAGACCTCTAAACATGAAGTCGACAGTGGTTGTACAAGCTTTAACATCCTCGTTAACGGTTAACAATCGTTTCATTAAAATGACTGTAAAGTAAAATGCTGACTCCTAGTCCAATTATAAGCCTGTCAGGTGTTGAGGTGCGAGTTACCTGGTGGGAGAAGAAGTCTGGGTTGTAGGATCCTCCAGGGGCGATCACCTCCACAGCAGGGAGCACAGACGGCTTCTCGTTCAACTTCTCCGGACGCTGACAAAAAGAACAGATGAAGCCACATTAGTCAAACTCCAACTGCCACACAGACAATGTAAAGTATAAAATACTGTTCACCCAGTTTAATCTCGGACAAAAACACTTATTCATCCTCACATTGACAAGCTTCTTGCCAGTCTGTTGAAGGTACCAGGGGTCAGCTGAATCTTTGGCTGTGTTAGAAAGAAAGGAAAGATACATGGGTTACATGGTTGTTTTTTTAATCATACTTCTGCAATATTCAAGTATATTAGTGATCTACACTTTAAGGTCTGCTCTATAACTACAGAATCACTATCTAATAATGACCGGCTTTGTTGTTTATAACTTGAGTGCTGGAGCTTTAAACTCAATAACTGATATAACAAGACTGGAAAGTTTTTTGAAATGAGGCTGCAAAAACAACAAAATAAAATCAGATTCCTGCTGCAATCTTCAAAGTGATTTTATAGTTTCTACATTTGGTTGGGGTGTCATAAATTGGGACAACACGTGGGTACATCAAACCTTGTGTACTGCCAAAGACACTCAAAATAGGCCAGTGTCCCCAAATCCAGAAAATAAAACTCTGGCTCTGACTTCCTCTTTCGGATTCCTCTGATCACATCTGCTGATCAAAAAATCTGAGGCTTTGTCACAGACTGTGATCTGACTTTCTTGTGGAAAACACTGCAGTTATTCAAACAGTATAGCTCATGTAGTTTAGGATTAGCCACTGATTACACCAACACTGAAGGATTCAAAGCCAATGAGATGCACATTTTAGGTTTATATATTATATCAATCAAATTCTAGTCGATTTATTACTAACATCCCTATTTTGACCTTTGGATCTTCACATAATCCAAACTTTTCCTTATTTATTTATGTTTATCCTCAGATCCCAGATGACTGTTCACACAACAGTCGTCTGAGCTCCATGTTGGTCTTCACATTCCCATGAAGGAAATACTGGGAGCGCAAGGATGGGATCATCACTGGACAGACACACACACCCACCCACCCACACACACACACACACACACTGACACACACTCCACTCACACTCTTGGCCCCATATGTCGTAATATTCTCTGTCTGGGTTGTTGTTGGCCTCCGTCACTGATTTCTTGGCCTTCCTGTCGGCCGGCCGTCTGCTTGGCAGCTGTTTCCTCCTCCGTGGCACCACACCTTTGGCTGCCAGCTGCTCAGCCTTCTGGGCAATGCGACGAAGTTTCTTGGCATTTGGTTGCTGGTAGGCCAGCACACTGGGGGGGGCAGAGGAGATAAATCATTGATTATGTAGGTGGTTATGGAAACACACTACATGATATATAATGGAGAGAAGTTGATACAAGAGGTCAAAAAACAGCTACCAGCCCAGCACACTAGATATTCTGACACTGTTTACACTGTGGTGTGTTTGCATATCCTCAGATCTCAGGAATCCATTCACAAAACAGTCTCCTGAGCTCCTGTGTGTTGTCTTCACATTACCATGAAGGAAATACTGGGAGCGCAAGGATGAGATCATCACCAGTTACACACAGCCCTCAAACATTTAAGACAATAAATCAAAAGCTGATGTTCCAACATTTTTTTAAATGTTCATTTTTTCAGATGCAAAATTTTACCAAGAGCAGTACAGCTGAGCTCTGTAGGGAGGTGATCTACTTGCCAACTACGACCCTCTTACTCCAATACATTTCCAGTTCTAGCTATTTTTTAAAATCAATGCATTTACAACAGTTTAGAAGTTTGATAAAAACAGAAAAAAATCACAACATGTAGCTTTGCATCAATGAATGGTTTGTGGGTTGGTTAACATGTTAGATTTGTAGATGAAATACCATATATCAGCAGGTGGGTGAAATAGGAAAAGGTGAGTATGTCAGGGAAAGGCTAAGTTTATACTTCAGAAACAGAAGGAGTACAAATAGCAATACTTTCAGGTATCTAGATATAAAACTTTAAGCTGATGATGCATAAACCTGTTCATATGCATCATGGTAAGCATAACTAGAGACTTAATGATCACCAATCACTACAGCCTACTAAAGAATCCTCCAAATGACATATGAATGGAAACTGGGCTCTGTGTCTTCAGACAATATCTTTATAGATAACTACGAATCGAGCCATAGACGGAGAGAAAAGCACACAGGGTCATGATGGGTACTGACTCTTTAGGTGGCGGAATGAGGGAGTCGTGCTGCAGGATGAGGTCTATCCTCAGAGGACGTGACGTTTTCCCTTTCCTCTTCTTCCCCTCTACGGCTTCTTCTGATTCACAGAGAAAAAAAGATAATTCACTAACAAGAACAAAGACACATACACATCTCTTTTTCCAAGATTTGTTAGTTAAATATTTCATTAATTACCTGTACTGTTCTGAGAAATACAAGAGTACAACTTGTTTTTATCTGATCTGAGCTATTTATTACATCGGTGGGTCACAGGAAATTTTTATTCAATAGCTGACTCACAAAAATATTATATATTTACCCTTCTGTTCAGGCTTTTTCGGTTGTCCAACATCCAAAAAGAACAAACTGTCATCTGGCTTCTCAGACAGCAAACCCCTGAAATATACAAAGGTCACATCATGTCACATTTTGGACTTACAACTAAGAAAAACAGCCTTATCTAACTTATTTCTTGCAACTAATAATTTAATTATGTAGGTTATTTATTCAAGTAGTTGCTTGCTTTGTCCACACAACAGTCCAAAACACATAGAAATTACATTAACAGTCATATACAAAAGAGCAAAACAAGCACATTTGAGCAGCAATTGTTCAGCAGTTGTTTGGTTAGTTACATGACTTCATAAAATCATAACTGTTAATAATTAATTTACTGTCAATCGATTAATGGTTTCAGCACTAGTACCCACACATTACATTAAAACATTATCAAATTACTTTAAATATGGATTAGGCAACACAGTTTAGGGAGTTCACATGACATAGTGGCCAACACAACATGAACAACAACAAAAAGGAAAGTCAACTGGCGAGCAGCCTTTCAACTTGTTAGGTGAAGCAACTCGTATTAAAAAATTTCAAATAAATTCACGCAAACTCTATTTTGTGCCAATCTTTCAAGGGAATTAAACAATATGTCGGGCACTGTGCAAACGTACTGTTATTCAAAGAAACTCTGATACAAATACAAGGCCGGCGAAAAGGGCCACTAAATAACGTTTACGATGAAGCATTTATGTACTAAATTTCCACATTACAGCAGCATCAGTTGTTAGTCGTCCCCACATTTTGGCTAACTTACCCTGTGGTCCTCTCTTGGTGCCTGACGTCCTCTAAAAAATCCTCTACGTCGTTTATGTCGCTGTGTTTGTTCCAGCTTTTCTTCTTATTCTTGTTCACGCGTTTTCTTCGACTGCTGACCGAGTCCGCGGAGTCTGAAGTGGACTTTAACTTTAAAAAACCTGGCTGTGAAGCCACCACGCGTTTCAACCTCCTGGCAGCCGCCATGTTGGAGGACTGGTAAAAAGAAACATGCTTCTTCTTCTTCAGCTCTGAGGGGGTTGGAGTGAAGCTGCTGGCGCCGCCTGCTGGACTAACAGTGTAAATGTTGTAAGAGCTTTTACTAAATAAATAGAAGTTTAAACTTTATTATTATGTAATTTTCCCCAAACCTTTATCTCAATTTATAAGATGATTATTTTAGCTTTGCCTGTTTGATTTATTATACACATTGTTTAATGCAATGCTTAGAAAGATGAAGGGTCTTGTTATGTTGGTTTTAAATGTTTTTTAATATTTATTTCATAAAAATCAAAATTAAATATGTGGAAATAGTGAAATGTTCAGTGGCACTCACTTTATATTGTCTCCTCAATATTTACAGTACCATAGTTTCCTTTTTCTTTCTTGGTAAAATACGTTTAATAAAGAGCTAAAAAAAATAATAATAACCTAAACCAACAAAACTATCAATAATCAGGATTGAGAAAAAACTTGTTGCACGACATTGCCCGTCAGTGTGGTCGTGCAGTTGTTTATCATGTTGCTGCATGTATGTAATATGTTCGTCCCAGGTGCATCATGGGAAACGTGTCTCCTATTGCTTTCCTATGTACTTTTTCCTTTTTTTCCTCCCTTCGTTTTATTGCGAGAACAACGCTTTAGAGACTCAAGAATAAATTCCCATTTTTGAGCTGCAATCTTTCACTAACTTTTCAAAGGTAAGTATCACCATTTTAATAAAACTCCAATCTATCGTTTTATGTTATATTAGTTTTCGGATGGACATGTTTTTCGTTTATTTTCGGTGAAAAAGAAAACGCAGAGCAGTCGAGCTATTATCTGCCTGCTCGGGGAGTCAGGGACCTAAAAAGCACTTGTGATCTGGTCGGGTTTGACTCGGAAATGCGCCTAAAGTGAGGGGTCATCTGACAAAATATTGTTGTCAATTGATCCCCGGACATGTCTGGTGTCATCTTCAAAAAGTATATTCCACTTTCGTGCCGCAGTTTTTATAGTCTTCCGTCGTTTTTATCATCACCCTCTCCGTTTCCTACAACGATTTTTCCTTCCCGTTTACATTCTTCTAGCCAGCAGCCAGCCATCATCTTTAGGTGTGCTAGTTTCCCTGCACTGGGCAGCCGGCGCGGGCGGGGTCGCCTGGTTTTCCTTTATAATAGCTTATTCTGAATAAAAACTCGAGGCTAGTGCGCAACCGGGGAGCACACTATGAAGAAACGAACAAACCCACGTACTGTGCGCAAGGGGCGGGATATGTTCGACGGTCTTCGCGCGGTGATTGGTTGAAAGGTTCACAACATCCCGCCTTGTAGGCCCGTATACAGATTGTGGTTGGTTTAGGCGATAAAGAGCTGTGCTATGATTGGATGCCTTCGCTGTCCTTTTCTGCTACAGGCATTGCATAAGCTACCTTGAATCTAATTAGAAAGAAAATAAGGCTTCTGGTGCTCATGTTTTTTTCTTTTCCACTCTGACTGAGTAAAGTATAGTAAAGTAGAGTCTGTCAAGTTTATATAAAGTTTTAAATTGAATTCAATACAAACGGAAAATTACATTTTTATCCTTCACATCCTGTGCCCTAAATTATTCTGTTGCACATGCCTAAAACATTCTTTGTTGTCACTGAAGCAAACTTTGTTATGTTCCCTCAGGTGATCTTTAGTAGCCATGGCCCGTACCAAGCAGACTGCCCGTAAGTCCACTGGAGGCAAAGCCCCACGTAAGCAGCTGGCCACAAAGGCTGCTCGCAAGAGCGCCCCTTCCACTGGCGGTGTGAAGAAGCCCCATCGCTACAGGTGAGAACACACTGGGTTCATCTGGGTGTGTTGAAAAGCAACAAAAGAGCTAAATTTTTATGCCCCTTGTTACATTTGTCGATATAAACTAAAACAAAACTGACACACAGATTCAATAGCTTTCCTCCTGCTCTCAAAAACTCTTTGGGGACATATTTTAGTTCTCTTATTGAAGCAGTTCATTCTATTGAGAAGTTTTGCCACAAAATACAATAGGCTGTGTATATTGTGCATTTAGTGAGCTGATGTTCTATCCTGTCATCTTAGACTTTTACTACTAGAAAGAAAGAGACTGGATCAGTAGTAAGAAGTGGGTCAAGGTGAAGATGAAAATAGGTGCACACAATTAATAGTGTGTTCTGTTGAAATCAAGGAAGGATAACACAAGTTTGTACAAACACAGGTCAGTTCAGCAGCTCCCACCTCAATTTTTAAATGTTAATTTTTGCCTCTCCTTTCCAGGCCTGGTACCGTGGCTCTGCGTGAGATCCGTCGTTATCAGAAATCCACTGAGCTGCTGATCCGCAAGCTGCCCTTCCAGCGTCTGGTGAGAGAAATCGCCCAGGACTTCAAGACCGATCTGCGTTTCCAAAGTGCAGCTATCGGAGCTCTGCAGGTCAGTAGCAGCCAAAAATATTAAATGAATTTACTAAAACCATTTTTCATCATCTCAGCTAAAAAAAACAATGTTTTGACTTTGTCATCTGCAGGAGGCCAGTGAGGCCTACCTGGTGGGTCTGTTTGAGGACACCAACCTGTGCGCCATTCACGCCAAACGTGTCACCATCATGCCCAAAGACATCCAGCTGGCACGTCGTATCCGCGGGGAGCGTGCTTAAAATGTTTTCTGATTTATTATATGCTGTCCTCTTGTCCCCTCACCACTCTTTCCATCCCTTTCTTTACTCTATACTTAGTTAGTAGTTTGGTTTGAGGTTCTATATATATCATATGATTGTGATAACCGTAAAATGTGTGATCATGTCTACTTCGGTGCTACTAGTAGCAGAGTTTCCTTAGAAATATCGTCATGTATGTTTGAAACTTTAAATCACACTCCTCACTTCTAACTAGATAGCTCACAGGAATGCCTTGTTACCTCCATGAATAAGGTGTTTTTGCAAGCCAAGAATAGTGTATGATCTGAAATAAGCATAGGAAATTGCATTGAGACATTTTTCATCTTCAGACGGACACATACATTGATATAATGGGTCTTTTGATTTTTTTTTTCAAGAGAAATTTGTTTTAAAAGTAGTGATTTTACTTTTTCTTTTCTTTTTTCTTTTTACAATAATGGTGTATTTCTACTGTTACTTTTTAATGTATCAAAATACAAAAGTTTGATTCTGGTTGTCAATTAGAAACGTCATTGTGCTATGATGACACTGCATGGTTTGACAGACTACAAGCGGCATATATGTAGCAGACCTATGTTGATCATGTTTGATTTTCAGCCATGTTATTATGTCCAGGTAATGTTATGATTTTTGGTTCCTCTCTCAGGTTGATATGGTAACCTAATTTTTTTCTACTGTGTTTTGATTTATGTTTTCAGTCATTTTTAAAAGCAAAATATTTGTACTCCGGAATTCACATACAAACATAATAAACAGATTCTTGTGGTTAAATGAGCTGTATGAGAGATTACCTACATTGAAATACTATTAATATTAGAGTGGAAACAATTAGTCACTGGCAAAAGTTTGATAATTTATTGTCATTTCTGAGTAAAACAGTGTAAAACATTGCTTAATCCAAATCTACTTTTCACAGTTTTTTGATTGTACAAAATAAAAATTTTAAGTTATGCTTCAACTTAAGGAAATTGTGATACACATTTTCACAAATCTGACACTTTATAGACTAAACAAGTAATTAAGGAAGTAGTTGGCAGATGAATTGATTAAAAAAGAAGGTTGCAGTCCTAATTCATATTGTGTGTGCATTTTTGTAAATTTCTATTATTGCGCAACTCTTCTAGAATAAATGCTGCAAAAGAGGTGTATTAAAACTCCTGCAGTCAACTGACATTAAAATGAGCCTTTCTTCCATTATTAATGCACTGTTACTTTTTTCATTTCATTAACTTAAAAAGTATAAGTCTTGAGCATTTTGGTTGACCATGTTATGCCAACATAAAATCCAGGGATTATAATTGCACAAAACTTTATTTAACTGTAAATCAAATGCAACGTAACAATGTTGACAAAATTACTGATTTAAAAAAAAAAAAGACAATTTAAAATTCACAAGACATGCACATCACCAAATAATCGGCTTGAAATACACATCGCTCCCAGGTAGTTTTCTCATCTCTTAAAAAAAAGAAATAGCCTTTTCTCGTCTACACAGACATATGGCAGTTGTCTCAAAATGGTTATCTATTCTTTTCAAAACAACTCTGACAACCACTAAAAAGTACGACTTAACTTTTCAGTATTACTTTCGGTTTGACCTCGAATGGCCACATTTGTTTTGAATGTAGCTAGAAAAAGGCGAAAACACTCCCAGCGTCTTATCAGTATTTTCCCTACACCTAATCGGAATTTAAAGCACCGACTTGTTGGTTAAACGCAGTCAAACTACTTCTCCGGTCTGGAACGGCATGTGTCAACCTGATAAAAGTGACCACATAAATGTTGTGAACACTGTTGCATTGTGGGACCGATGATTGACGCGGCGGCCATTTTCCCGCTGGACGCTGCTTCCCATTGTGGATACGAAGAAGAAAATAAGAGAGAAGCGAAACATTTCTCACGACTTCTGCTCACTTTTCCCCTAGGTAAGCCTCTCGAAATACGTCACAGTGTTCGTGAATGAACTTTATATTTTTTTAGTTGTGAATTGTTGAATTTGTAGTCGCATTTTATAGAGAATAACCTTTAGTTTTGTCGTGTGGGAAAATAACAAACACGGCTGTCGAAACGACGGTGAAATGCAGTCTTTTCTGCAGCCGTTCAGATGAGGGGAAATTCTGTTTCAAATAATGCGCCGGTTCAGCTCGGTTCTACGCAGCCGTTAGGGACTGTTCGGCTTTCCAATGCCTATCTATGAGTTCCTTGAAATGTCTTCTGTGTTGTTCTCGTATTTACCGGTACGCTGGAAGAGCGGTTATTTGTAAAATTGAAGTTGTTTATGTGGTACTCCTTTGCTCTTCTGCCCTGGGTCTTTATCCCGTTTGCGCATCAAACCGCCGCCATCATCAGAGCGGGGTGGGCGGACCTAGCAACAGTGGAAGGCAGCTGTAGAGCCCGCCCTCTGTATAGACTCTACGTTCTGATTGGCTCACGCGTTATATTTTTAGACGCGTATTGGTCTACCAGCCAATAGTGTCGTCATTCATCTTTGATTGATGTTTGTCGATCTTATTGTGTTAGGGAATGTCTTGTATGTTTACTTACTCAAAAAGTTAACTTAATTCAAGTTTCCTGTTCCAATTTCAAAACTATTTGTATGTATCTCAGATGTAAAAAAACGTGTTTACCTTCGAGGTAAATAAGGAAGTGTATTCCTCAATAGTAGTTCCACCTTAAGTTTAGAAGTATTAGACAAACTAAATACAGTAATGAATGCAAACTTGTGCTTTCTGTTTGTTACCATATTTACATTATTGTCGCTATGACAGCATTCAATTTTGCCGCCCCAAGTGATGTGTAAAGAAAGCACAAGAAATCAGAGGAAGACTTAGAAGGAGATGTCTTGATGTCTCCTAATGGAACAAATGTGCATACTAAAACAAATATCATTTGTCCTTTCTTTTCCATCTTCTTCAGGTGATATTTAGTAGCCATGGCCCGTACCAAGCAGACTGCCCGTAAGTCCACTGGAGGCAAAGCCCCACGTAAGCAGCTGGCCACAAAGGCTGCTCGCAAGAGCGCCCCTTCCACTGGCGGTGTGAAGAAGCCCCATCGCTACAGGTGAGAACACACTGGGTTCATCTGGGTGTGTTGAAAAGCAACACAAGAGATGCTACAGGTTTATGCCCCTTTGTTACATATGTCAGTATAAGCTAAAACAAAACACATTTATTTTGAAAAAAGGCCAGGTACCGTGGCTCTGCGTGAGATCCGTCGTTATCAGAAATCCACTGAGCTGCTGATCCGCAAGCTGCCCTTCCAGCGTCTGGTGAGAGAAATCGCCCAGGACTTCAAGACCGATCTGCGTTTCCAAAGTGCAGCCATCGGAGCTCTGCAGGTCAGTATTGCAATCAAATTCACACTATGCACTTATATGATTGTTAATTGTAAATCCCGGGTGTATATTCAACTGTATGAATATGAATTTTAAAGTGAAGATAAGAGAAGAATCTTCACCTTTTTTAAGTAGAGGTAGAAAATATTTATAATGTAAAATATACCAAAACATCAAAGCATTTGATTTATCATGCATATATGTGCAAAACACATGTTGTATCCATATAATCAGATGTACTGAAGACTTAACTGTAAATACAGTGTGTATAAAATTTGTACATGCAGGGACTACCATTTACTTTTGAAATCAAGTAACTAAGTATTTTTGTTGCTGCATAAAGTTATCATTTCATCCCCATAATAAGTTACCAAAAAGATGTGTACCATAACTACCTGTGCAACCTAAACTCCACTGTTTCCCTTTTTTTTTCTCTGCAGGAGGCCAGTGAGGCCTATTTGGTGGGTCTGTTTGAGGACACCAACTTGTGCGCCATCCACGCCAAGCGTGTCACCATCATGCCCAAAGACATCCAGCTGGCACGTCGTATCCGTGGAGAGCGTGCTTAAATGCTCTCTCCTCCTCCTCTTTGTCTTTAATCTTTTCACCTCCTCCTGCCCTTCCTTCACCAGTCTGTCTCTCCGTCCCTCTGCCTTCCACCTGCCCCCTTCCTTCCTCTCTTCCTGTATTAGTAGTGTGTAGATGATAACTGATTATATTATGAATAAATAAAGTGTATAGTCGTGTTTTTCTTAGTGCTCTCGGCAGCAGACTTCTAGGGTACTCTCTTTTTGTGCATGTACCAACTCTTTGGTGATGAGATCCCCTCAAGCACACATCTCCTATTTTGCACTGTTTCTACTCTGACTCTGTGGAGTAAAGGATGATTTATGGATAGAAAGAGGAAAAACAATGGACTAGAACAATGCAAATTTGGGAGGGACAGACAAGAGGAGAGGATGGGTATTGTCTGCAGGGAGTCCCTTTTCTGCAGCAAGGTGCTAGAAGAACTTACCAGTCCTCTTCTCCTGCTTCCTCTGCTCTGCCAGCCTCCACTCTGAAATGTGCAGAAACAAGAGCATTAGTCTCTGCTCATGAAGGCCGAGGTTGGAATTTCTGTCCCTGCATGTGTCTGCATGAGTGCTGGCTCTGATCACCACAGCAAATTGTATACAATCCATCTGCATCCTTAGAGAAGTTGATTTATGATTATGCTGTCATTTGTCATGTTAGCTTTTTTTCCCTTCAAATTAAGTCTCATGCACAGGGGTTTTTTTTTTTTTTTTTCACTTCAAACTGTTTGTGGATGACATGGAGACGGGGATGAATCAGATTAAAACACTTAACAGAGAACAGAAACAAAATAATTTTTTTCTACTGAAATGTGATGCTACTGACTCGCTTTGGCACCAAAGTTTGAACCTCTTGTAGATGCTCTTTTCCTAACTGACAAGTGTTTAACCTCACCTGTTTTTGTGGTGTTCAAATTGGTTTCATCTAATTATTTAAAGCCAAAGTTTGAGAGCTCAAGGATGGTGTCAGAGGTACTTTTTTAACAGTGGCTGATTTTTTAATAAAGGACCTTTTTATAACAAAGGTTCATCAAGGTTTGTAATGTTCTCTAAAACCAAAAGTTCGCAAAGTGTGAAAAACTTTTTTCTTTTTTTTTTTTCCTTTTTTTTTTAAACAACAGAAATGATTAAAATGTATTGTAAATCAGTGTTACATGACAAATAATGGTCATGTTTCTGTATACGTCCCCCCTCTGTGCTTCTTTTTTTTTTTTTTTTTCCTCCGGATCAGTTGATCATCTGTATACCGTTTCTCAGGTTGACTTGTCACCCTTTTAACTTAATTTTTATTTTTGCTCAATTTGATTTTCTTTTTTTTTTTTGAAATGTTGAGGATGATGTTTCAATTAAACAATGTTTGTAATTTCCAGATTTGTCATATAAGGTGGTAATAAATGGATGTTACACACACACACGCACACTCCCCTGTGTCAATGGTATAGACTCCCAATATTATACAATAGACATGTTTTTAAAATATAATACATTAAAAAGCTGGTTTTGCTAGGGAACTTTACCAGTTTCCTTTTATAACAGTTTGCTTTTGGGGCAGTGGCATTGGAGTAACTTTAGGTAAATAAAAATAAACTTATACCACATTCAAACCAACATTCAACATGGAAAATGGGTTCTTCATTAACAGTCCAGGATAAACATAAAATAAAGCGCAAACATTTCAAGATTCATCTAGGTTTCATTTCAGTGGCAACAACAACCTTTGCAACTGCAAAATTAGCTCTGTGAAATCTGTTTACAGAACAGCTAGAGAAGGTTTTGAGGTTTGTAAAAAAGAATGCAACAGGTCAACACATGTTCACACACCAGGAACAACCACTCCCTGATAACTGAAAACCATGAAGGTGACACTGTCTCACTGTGGTAGTTTCTTTTACTGAAACATGACACGACTCATTGTTCTAGCTCAGTAATCTTTCTATAATGTTTACATACATCCAGGCTTTGGGAACCTATAGTGTACTGAGACCCTATTCTCACAATGACACCAGTTATACCACAAGATGGCAGTAAAACACTGTGTAAATTAATCTCCTTCATGCGAAGGAATGGAGTTCCTGACGGTACAATATACTTTTGCCTGGAGTAAAGTAGAACAGAATGATGTGTAAAAATATGTATTTAAACTATATATGGATATATGTATAGAAATATGTATTTACTCCCATATAACATTTGCACTTTAATGTTCATCCATTTTAAACTTGTCCTTTAAACTAAATCTAAGTCAAATTCTACTGCTTACACATTTTTCTGATGATAGCATACTACTTAAAAGTGACCTCTTTACCCATTGTCATATTCTTGCTGGATAATTTGTTATGCACCTCTGTCTCTATCTCACACACACACACGAACACACACTAATACGCACACACACAGATACAATTAATATCCCTTTCTGGACAGACATCATTCCCCTCATCAGTGTTTAATTTCATCCTTCTACTTCCTTGATTAAAAGGGATAAAGCCATGCCCTCAGCCATATTCATTACAATGAAATACACACACACACACACACACACACACACACACACATTCACCGATGTCACTGTGGCCTCAGTCATACTCATTACAATGAAACACACAAAGACAAACAAACATTTAATCAAACACCAGCCTTTAATCCTGTTGTTTTGAATGGGCACCACAGCTACAGTGGTATGGACACACACACACACACACACACACAGACACACACACACACACACACACACACACACACACACACACACAGAGTCAACCGGTGACTTTACCAGGGTGAGTTCCATCCAGTAAAGTGTTTTGGAAATCACGATTCAGGTTGCTGTCACTTCTGATTAATAAAGTAGTCTGAATGTTTTCACTGCGCCACAAATTCAATCAGTCAAATCAAAACAACCATGACACTGGAAAGAAAGAACCATACTGCTGTGAGTCATCAACCAAGTAAGACAGCTGTTCCCAACCTTTCTTGTTTTGACTTTGTTGTTGATGTTTATTTACTCTACGACTCCCGAGTGGCAGAAGCTGGACGGTTCAACCATTCATCCAAAACCTTTGGTTACTGTGAAAATAGATGCTAGAGCTACTAAAGATCAACCTGACACCATCCATTTTTTTCTCACCTAAGCACAAATATGTTCTCTTCTCTGAAGTGCCTACACCTGACTCCATCCTCAGAGACATGCTATACCGTCTGGTTTGCACCTCTGTGGAGAAGGACTCATACTGCAGCAGGATAATGATTCCAAACTAACCTCAAAGCTTTGCAAGAACTACTCAAAGACTGAAAAAGACCACTGACGGCTGTGGCTTGGGTGGTAGAGTGGGCTGTCCACCAATTGAAAGGTTGTGGTTTGATCCCCAGCTCCTCCAGTCTGCATGTCGAAATTGAGCAAGATACTGAACCCCAAATTGCCCTCAATGTATCATTGGTGTGTGTGTGTGTGTGTGTCTGTGTGTGTGTTAGAGACTCATTGAAGCAAAGTTGGACAAACCAAATACTAGGATATTCTGAAATTCATGTACATTTTTTAAAGTTTTCATTCAAATTATTACATTCAAAACAAATGCAAAATAGAAGTATCTTGGTATTACATTCAAAACAAATGCAAAATAGAAGTATCTTAACTAGTGGTTTCAGACTTTTGGACCCCACTGTATGTCAGCCAGTTGTCAGCACTGACGAGTTGATTTTTTAACTGTACAATATCTCACTAGGAACATAGAAAAACAATCTATGGGATCCATATCAAGATTGTTTGTTTATGTTATGTTTTCATATTTTTTTTTAAAATACCATTGATATATCCAGTATATTGTTATTGCATTAAACTAAATTTATATCAGTATCCACTTCAAAAATCCAGTATCTGTAGCCCAGTCAAGTCACAAAATGTGGCACATTTTCCCAGATTACAGTAAAAACTGGGTTCACACAGTTAACCAGAGAATTATACATGAAATAATTTCATTCTTTGGATTAAACGGGAAAAAAACAGCTAACTCCTAGCTAATCTAACTGCAGGATTACATAGCGGCATATCAAAAGAATCGTTTCTTTCAGGATTTGGAATTGAATATTGGCATGTGGGACTAAAAGAGCCAGGTCTTTATTGTTATGAATGAGCCTTGATAATGACAAATTGTGATGACTGGATTATCTTGCATAGTTTGGCTCAAGTGAATTTTCCAACAAATCTTTTCTTTCTTTTCTTTTTTTTTACAAACTACAAGCTTCACCTTAAAATAAATAAAATCGGACTAAACAGGCCTGTGGTTGCTCTGTGGAAAATTGTAAGTGGAGATCAAAACCTCCTTTTTTATTTTCCGTTACACACCAGTGAATGCAACCATGAGACTCTCTTGTTTTTTTTTTTATGCGCAGGGCCTATATTGTATCTTTGTTCATCAGAAACATGGGGTCATGAAGTGGAGGAGCATCACTGTGATGATGTGACCACTCATAAGCAGCACTCTGCCCTAATTGCATATAATGGACCATACATGCCCATGCATATAAATAAGTAGATGCATAGGTATTTTTTTTATTATATGTCTTTGTGTGTGTTTGTGTGTGTGTGTCTGAGTGTCTATGAGTGCTTGTGGGAAATGTAGTTGATGTGTGTGTGTGTGTGTGTGTGTGTGTGTGTGTGTGTGTGTGTGTGTGTGTGTGTGTGTGTGTACACAACTGTGCGTTCACCTTCCCCAAGGTCTACGTAGTGGTGCTCCATCTGTGGCACTCAGGGGATTACAGCCAATCTGTCTGTCTGCTGCTCAAAGTGCTGACCGTCAGACCAGCACCAGATTAACACAGTGCTGGGATTGGGGGGGTGGGGGGAGCGTGGGTGGAGCATGAGTGGAGCATGAGTGCAGAGATATGGGGGATGGGTGGAAGAGAGAGATGGATGGATGTTAAGGAAGAGAGAAAGAGATGCGTATGTTTTGGGGGAAGTTGGGGGGTTGGGGGCAGGTTGAGAGGTCGACCCCAGATTAGTACACAACTGGTACAGTGTGCGTATGTGTGTGTGGTGTGTGTTTGTGTGTGTGTTTATGGGGGTGGGGGGGTGGGATACACATCAAGTAGAGAGGGACAGAAGGGGAAGAAGGAAGAGGGACAGATGTATATGGTGGGTGGGAAGGATGGGGGTCGCATTAACACAAAACTCCAGTGGAATGAGGAGTTTGCTAATAAAGTTTTGATGGATGAAACAGACAAGAATGTGTGAGTGTTGTTAAGGTAGAGGAACTGAGACAGGTAGAGCATAGGGTAGTAGACAGGTAGTGCAATTGAGATTGGGGTCCACGTTTAAAGGCAGAAGTGTTATTCCTGTTCTGAATGGCGACAATTGAAAGCATTGTACATAAAGAAGCAGTTGGAGGATCATATACAGTTTCAGATAGGCTTCCCTCAAAGCCTGTCTGAAACTGTATATGATGCAGACAAAAAGTGACAGAAGAGAAGAGAGAAGCTCAAGCCCTAATTTTTGTTTGCAGTGTCGCAAAAATGTTCAGACTCAAAGCCAGGGTATGCTAGAAATTAGCAAGTTTGTACAAAGTGTCATCCAACAACATATGATAGCAAATGAGTTTATACCTGTTGTGGATAGCCGCACTTGAAGGCTGTGCAAAATGTGTGGAGTCACAGAGAGGACTGAGATGGTATGAATGGTACAGTTTCAGACAGTCTTTCCTCAAAAGCAGTCATGGTGTTGCATTCAGGTTCACACATGCAAAATGATGTAAGTGGTTTAAGAGCTCGAGAGAAGTTCAGACCCTGCTTTCACACATCCACACACCTGACCAACTGCTGTGGGAGTAATTCTCGGATCATCGGCTTTGGAAAGTTACAAAAATTGTCAGACTCAAGGGTTAAGATGTGCTTGAAACGATCAAGCTCATACAAAACATCTGAAGGCAAAACTTTTTAAATGTGTCCTGTGTAACAACACTAAAAAAACTTTAAAACCTAGCATCATAGACATGACCAAATGAGGAACACATGTTGGGACAGTCTTGATTTGATCAAACCCTTCTTACTTTAACGCCTCTGCAAACCTGGCCTGTTGCTACATGAAGATGTTTAACATACTGTCTTTTTCAGAAAGGTACAAAAATTGTCTCGCTCATGACGTCTTGGTTTTGGACACCGCGATATGATCCAACAAGCACTTTGTTTGAAGCATACAGAGGCCTGGATCTTGACAGCCTTTTCCTGATGTAACTTCAGTTGACATACCCTGCACTCTTCCCTTATATTTTCAGGTAAAGCACGCAGAAGGTTATGTCACTAATGACGCTTAAGAGCAAGCAAATAAGCTAGTCAGAAGAGAACCAGGTAGTTCTTAGGACTTGAGAGTAGGCTACCAAACAACATTGCATTCATAAACTCATTGTCAGTTGATTTGGGTCAAAG